CCCCCCCCCCCCCTCTCGTGCCTCAATTGACGAGACGGAAAAAAAAATGTGTTGGTCGGTCCTCTTAACAACCAGCACGTTGGTCATTTCTTTCCATTTCTTTTGATGTATTAGGAGGCAACATGAATGAACCTGGGTAGTTTCCGGGGGGGATGGTGTAGCCGGTGCCGTCCGAAGGGACCGAGATACGCATCATGGCACCGAGCATGGTGGTCTCGTCCTGGCTGTGGTTCCCAGGGTCAGTCTGCGGTCCACCATCGCCGGTCGTCCAGTACAGGTCTGAATACCCGGGCTTTTAATGGGTGCGCAAGTTTTTCAGCGCAGAAAAAAAAAGTGGGAGGCGGGCGGTGGTACTCAGTGCATGCCGTAGTCGTTGCACAATTGACCGCGCATCCCTACGAAGCCGGGACGGGACGGGACGGGGGGGAGGCGTTACGGTGAACCAAGCCTCGGGCGCAAGTTTCTGCGGAAAACATAGGAAAAACGATGCTTTTTTACAAGAACAATGAAACAATAGGTCGATGGGGTGGTGTACCCGTTACCCTGCGGGCGCAAAGAGTTTGATTGCATGAAGAAAAAAAACATTGTACACATTCATCCGTACAACCCTATTTGGTAATCCGGGGTAAGGGGCGAAAGGTTCTGTGTAACGAATCCCAACGGGGCCATTTACGGCAAGCCAAACCACGGACGAGGGAGACACAGAGGGCAGCAGTACGACAGCACGATCGGTTTCAAATGCACCAACCGTCGGCCGTTCTCGCCTCTCACACCACCATGCAACAACGGGATGGGAAAACATAACCAGGACCCCCATGGGCGACTGGCTGACTGACGCCTGCTGCATCAGCACCGAACCTATGAAAACTGAACTATTTCGTGGGGGAACGCTCTCCCGTCTCGCGTCTCGCCGTCATCGACCAAGACATTGCAGTCACCCAAGCATGGAAGGGAACCGAGGCGAGACCTTTGCACAAGTCTGAAGCGACACCCAGGATTGCTTTTTGTCGGGAGGTCACAAACACCGCCGGGTTGTTTTTCGTTTCAAGTCTGCAATTCCCCCGCCGACCCTCACTGTCCGGCCTATCAATTCTGGCATGCTCGTTTAAAGGACACCCAGGAGATTTTTCGGCGGAGGCCACAAACGTTCCCGAACTCATTGTAGAAGGGGGGTCTTGAAACCAAGCGACAGAAACATCAACTCCTCCACCCCTCCCCTACCGTAGCAGACAGAGAGCCTGAAGTCAATCCAGGCAACAAACCAAATTGTTGTACTTACGCACCCTGCCGCTGCCGTCGAAGGGCTCTCTTCAGATAACCAAGCGCTGTTATTGTACTACAAAAAACATTACACTCACGCTGCCGTAGTCCGAGGGCTTGAAGCCAAGCCACCCGGCAGAGTGGATGCTGTTATACTTGGGGACGGTGGTCAGCAACACCTCCTCGGTGGCGCGAGTGGCGACCGGATCCCCCGGGACGTACGTGAACCGGGCGAGCCGGTTGCGTTGCATCTCCTGCAGAGGACCGAAGACGCAGTTGATTGAGATGAACACAAATAATACATATAAGATACGATTTTGGCGATAGTCGCGAACCTTGGCGAGCCGGTTGCGTTGCATATCTCCTGCGCAGTGAACCCCCCCCAAAAATATTTTTTGACGATAAACGTGACCTTGGCGGGCCCGTTGCGTTGCATCTTCTGAAAAGGGAGGTGGCCCGCGATAACGTCAAGAAACAAACCAAAGGAAGGCTCAGAATTTGGCGATACACATAAACTTGGCCAGCCGGATGTAGCATTGCCTGAACTGAAACACTGTCTTCATGCGAAAAAAACGGACCGACAGCAGCGGCAGCAGCGACGACAACAATCAACCGACTGCATCGGCGTCGAACGAACAAACCAAAACAACGCCAACACCACCGGCCGGCCGGTAGGCCGCCGACCTATGCAAGACTTACGCCGTCGTCAAGCAGAACCGTGTAGCTGACGTAAAAGTACGACGGGTAGGAGGGGACGCTGAACATGGGCCCAAACACCACGTCCAGAAGACCCTGTCCATGAACCACACAAACGCGGAGCAAAAAAAAAAATGGTTGGGTGCGGCAGCACTCCGTATGTACTTCCACAAAGCGCTAACATTGGCATAGAGTCTCGTAAGCAAGGGAACGGGAGAGGCGGGGCGGCAGCACGCCGAGGGTCGAGAGCGCAACAGTTTCATTGGCATGCCTTTTTTATAGAGGAAAAACAAGGAACGGATCTCCGTAAAATCAACACCAACAAATTCCTGGGCAGAAAACTTCAAGCTCAACAACCAGAAGAGCCAGCCGCCATTGTTCGTAATCTCGAAAGTATCCCCCCCTTAAGCTCAACAACAACAACAACGGCAGCAGCAGCAGTGAGCTGCCATTCTTTGCAATGTTGACAATCTCCGCACCCTCCCTGGCCCGGTGAGAACCCGGCGCGCTCTGTCCCGGCCCTGCAGGTATGAACGGTCAATCATCGCCACTGACTACCCCTCATTTTTCTCAATCGTGGACCCCCCCCCCCCCCCCCCCCCCCCCCCCCCCCCCCCCCCCCACCTCCTCGAAGTCGTCGTAGAAGTTGCCTCCGGAGGGGACCGGCCCGGCGACGTCGATGACCAGCTCGGAAGAATCCATGCTGTCCGAGTTCACCTGAACGAGAGAGGGAAATATAGAAGTGGAAAAGGAGCACTTTGCCGATCAGCTGTCCGAGTTCACGTGTGCAAAAATGAGAGAAAGAAGAACAGAAATGAAATAATGAAAAATCAGCCGAACTCCAACCGACAAGGGATCGACAGTCTTCGCCGGCGCTACACTCCTGTGATACCTTGCATCGACAAAAATCGTACGATACAGATGGTGCCGACCGCAACCTGACGATCTGCCCTTCCTTGGCGTTGGCTACTTGCCGCGCAGATGGACACCGCGCTTACATAGGGACTTGGCAAAGAAAAAATTAAACATGTATCATGACCTCGATAATGTCTGCTCACCGCGTAGATTTGTCCCGAGATGCCCAGCAACCACCATTGGCTACCATCCGGAGTCTGTTTCGTTCCAGGCAGACAGGGGACAACAACCGGGAAAAGGTGGGACGGCGGGAGGAAAGGGCTCTTAACCGTGCCATCGCAACGCGAGGCATGATTCGAGTGAGCTCGCATCTCCATGCATCCGTTTGGATGTGGATACACTACACAAACGACGGAGAAGAGGCAGGGATCAACGTACTTGAGGGCTTCTGCTGCTCGACCTACTTCGAGCTTCTGCTACTGCCATTGTTTTGGTTGTTGTCTTTGCAGAAAAACGTTCCGTACATCTCTACCCAGCAACTCCATCTGCCCGTCCGCACTCGTGTGCACTACGCCGTCGGCTCCCGTGGTCACAGGGGCATCAACACCTGGCCTGAGCTGGACGTGTCTGTCTCCCGAAGCCCCATCAAACCCCACCCCCATCTGTGTCACACCTTTCCAATAACACCCGACCAGGCGTGTCTCCCGAAGCGACATCAGAACCTATACCCACCTGTCTCATGCTGACGGTATCACCGGGCTGATCGTTCACGCTCAGGTCCGGGAATAGCTCGTTGAGTCCCGGCTCGAAAATCTCCGCTGGCATGTAGGGTAAGAGTGCGAGGCAACACATGGGGGTGCAATCGGTTTCTAGATGATTTTGCAGCTGACTTATTATCGCAAGGGTGTACGATGTCACCGATTTTCCGCGTGGGATAATCGAAAATATATATCATCGTAGTCGTGCTTTTTGTGGCTCACGCGGGTGCGACATCATCGAACCGTGCGTTCTCTCGAATCCGTACCTACGGTATGTCCAGAACGAACCGCCAACATCAGACCTGGTGTGTCGTTCAGAAAAAGAGCCTAAAATGTCCTCAAGACGTACCACCTTGACCACAAGAAGAGGAACCCGGTCAAGGAGCCTACACTACCACCTACGAATGGCCTCCACATGGATCGTGGTGGCGGAGTTCTTGACGGAGCTTACAAGCGTTGCTTGAGGTTAACAATTTCATCAGCCACGGTGTTAAGATCGGGCGCGAGCTGCACACCAACTCGAGGCGCGAAACGTTTCAGAGATAGATGAAAAAACTTCGGTAGGTGGGTGCGATGGTGTGGCGGTCCCGATCTTCCAACACTACTGGGGGTTTCACAAGTCAGTCCATGGGCACGAGGCCGTGCCCATCAGCACCCCATGGACGGATTAATTAGGAACCGCACGTCGGCTTCGTGGTCGACGGGGAAAAAAGAATGGCCGAATAGATGGGACCAACACACTCGGCCGGTTGCCGCGGTCGATTCTAAAATGAAAACATACGCACAAACCATCCTCTCACGGGGTCCCAGATCACGGCCTTCATTGAAGCATTTTATACTCTCGACAGCGCCAAGACCGACCACTTCTCTTCATTGCTCAGCCGTTTTGACGCGGTCGATGCTAACCCAATAGACACACACACCACTTAGCACGGACTGAAGAAGGTACTGGGCAGAGAGAACGGAAAGGGTTTTCATGTGAAGGCGACCACAACAACAAAAACAAAACCAAAAGTGTAAGGTGGCCCCCAGGGGGCGGGGACGGGGGGACGCACGTTCTTTGTAGGGGTACGACCAGAAGAAGTCGTCCCCTCCGCCGGTGTGCTTGGTGCAGTAATCCACGCTGCCGCTGTCGTATGTCGGGAACTCGATCTGGCCGTCGCACGCGGTGACCAGCTCCTCGCAGAAGTCGCTCGTCATTGTCAGCCCGTCGAGCATGCCGAGCTCCGCCCCTAGGTACTCATACAGGTGCGCGCTGTAGGAGTGGCACCTCGCGCATACCACCTGTTTCGTTTGTTGTTCGTGTTGTGCAATGTAGCAGTGTACGCAGGTTTTTCGAAGTGAGCGAGCATACTGGAAGAAGGTGTAGAATCGGCTAGTTGGAATTGAAGTTGGGGTCAGGGGAAGGTGTGCCCGCTGCCTGGTCTTTCATCGGTGTATCATTACTCGCTTTGCGTACGTAAATGCGAACAATCTTTGTATTTCGCGTCCGTCCGCCTAAAGACAAGAAGGGGCGCCACCAGTGGCGAACAAACGTGTCAAGTCAGTTAGAAGGACGTACACACACGAGTACGAGGAGGATGGACAAAAAGGAAGGAAACAAGGTGAGACAGCAGTCCAAACAAAGATGTACCTCCTTCGGTAACGCTTACGCCTACCTAAAGAAACCGGCGAAAACACCCGGATCTGGCCGTAGGTATTTCCCCGACGTCGTCCTCTCTTTCCTGGCCAGAGTTTCGTTCTCTAATCGAATGAAACCTGGGGCCTTTTGGCCGGACCAAGTGAACGCCTCTTGATTCTTGCTACAAGTTCGGGGCTGAATATCCCATATCTTAAGATCCCTCATAGTCCCACGGTTCCTCCCGTGCTACCCACCACATTACTACCGTGTAGTGTCGTATTTATCTGATGGCTAGCGGGCTGGCGGCCGGGCCGGGGGGGGGGGGGG